CAGGACGAAGATGGGGGCCGAATTCTTGGGAGATTCCCAGGCAAATAGGAAGGATGCATCTTGGTGACCAGAGGAAGCCCAGTTAGGTGTTGGGAGGGCACAGATGGCCCAGTGAGGTCCATAGGAAGAGCAGCTGAAGGACTAGGCCTGAGAAGGTGATGCGGGAAAACCCAGTGGCAGTCTTGATAAATATTAAATAACAAATGTAGGACAATTATATTTTAGCCTTTTCTGTATGGCTCTAGAGAAGAATGGAGAGCCTAGGGAAGTCCCCGAGAAGGAACTGGAGCTGTCCAGAGCAGGAGGGGCCCTGCCTTGCCCTGGCAAGGGTGCTGTAGGGAGTGTCCTGCCTCTGGGACAACAGAAGGTGGCAACTGGTAAGCTCTGGCATCCTCCCCAGCTCCCAAGTTGTAGATTTCTGTGGTGCACCTTAAAAAGTGAACATTGYGTTTGGTCCTAGTGATCCTTTGTGCTGTTGGTGCATTAGATTACACAGAGGAGAAGCAGCTCTGGCTCCATTGCACAAGTCCAGAACTAATGGGTCATAGGATTGCCTGGGGTCCTAAGCTGAGCACTAAAGGCTCATTGCACCCTTCGAGGTCTGGGAGCCCACCCTGTCCTCTAAGCATGCCTGGGCCTCACTCTGATCCACATCTGATCCACATCCCCTGCCTGGCAGGGCAGGGCAATGGATCAAATTCAAGAGCTTCCTGTTGGTGAGTCTGGGCAGGGCCAGACCACTGTCTCTGTGGGTCTCCCGTCTAGGGTCTCAGGGCTCTCCTGTTTGTCCAACAGCTGGTCCTAAAAGTTCCAGACATTCAGAAGGCCTGGGTCAAATGAAAATATGCAAAGTACACAATGCCTCACCAATGTGTTTCTGAAGGGCATAAGCTCTACGAGGCACCTTTGCCTTTTTCTGGGGTGTCTGTCTGTGAGGCACTGCTGCTATCCAAGAACAAGTTAGTGGCTGGAGTAGAAATGAAAGCTTAGGAAAACTTCTAATCAGGTCCACTCCATGCATAGTGGCTGTCTTGGATCCACCCAGAGGATACAGGACTAAAAGGGGCCACTCTCCCCTTTGCAGTGCCCAGGTGGGACGGGTCAGCTGCCACTCTCCAGGGCTGCAAGCTCCCTTCTGCCTTACTGAAAGCACTGAGGGTAACTTGTGCTGAAAAGCTGGCTTCCTTGTGCTTGTACRATCTGTTTCAAACTCCCCTCCCCCCTTCCTTGGACATTTGCTTCAGAATTCCAAGGTTTACTGTCTGAATTTAATGTTTTTTTTTTTTTTTTTTTTTTTTTTTTTTTTAAGATACACATAAAAATCAGCCCCTCTGGAATCTCTTTGGCAGGTGACACCACAGCTTTTGCTTTTGATGCTGGACCAGATTACATTCAGGTCCCTGACCTCTGGCGGACTTGCAGTTGGTGATTTAGGACCCTGGACATGGGCCAGTGGGATAGCTCTGTGAGGGTCAAGGGCCTCTCAGCTCACCACCCACGGGGACAGTCCAGCCCTGGTAACCCCAAAGACCCTCTCTGAGGTTCCTGGGAAATGACATCCCAACATGTCTACTTTAGGCCAACAAGCCCCAGAGAGCAGTGTTACCATCTGAAGAGAAGGCACAGGGCAGCAGGCACCCCCAGTTCTGGTAYCAGCTTGCCACGTCAGTAGCAGCCCTGTAACCCCCTTCCCCTTCCCCTGCTCTGAGCTCCAGTTTCCCCATCTGGGATGGAAGCCCTTGGGTTTCCTCTGAAGCACCAAGGAAGGTTTGCAAGGCTGGCTCACGGTCCCCTGGACGCTTTGGGCAGCTGGGGAGCCACCTGAGTCAGAGATGGGCCTTTTCACAGCAGCATCTGCCCATGGTGGGCTCCCTGCAGGCCTTTCTTCAGGAAGCGCTCAGAATCSATTTGACACGTGGCTGCATCAGAACCAGGCTTGGGAAGAGAAGCCACGTGGTGCTTTTGGACCTTTGGGGAGCTGGGTCATTCTGGGCTGGTATCTCTTACGGCAATTGCACTTTGAAAAGYATAGAAACCACTCAGCACCACAGCACTGTGGCTGTGTGACCCCGGCTAGCTCCAGTCTCCAAGTCCTCTGCACTTACATCCATCAACTACAAATAATAGAAATTCCCGTCCTCTGCTTAGGGTAAGTAGTGAAGATGCAATATGAAAGCYGCTTGTCACTTGCACACGGCCAAGAGAGTTCAGGGCTTTATTGTCCTGATGGTTATTTCTTCTGAGGTGAGGGCCAACCCGTGTGTCTGCCCCACTGCTGTATCCACCCCACTTCCAGTCCCAGGCTCTCTCCCAGTGGAGTCATGGGTGCACGGCCCCTTCCCCAGTAAGCCCTCTCAAGGGCAGGAAGCAGAACTCGGGTCTTTGTTCATCCTGTGGTCCCCACAGGACCTAGTGCTGCTTGGAAAGGCTGGGAGGGAAAGCATCTTGGAGCCTGAGAGCTGGGTTGGCATCCACCCTCCATCYAGAAAGCTAGGAGAGGAGCTATTTAATGTCTGTAAGCTTCAGTGTACTTGTCTGCTGAATGGGGATACTAAGTCCCAGGGCTGTCATAGGGTTAAAAGAGACACACGTACAGCATCCCGCACATAGCATATGCTCAGTACACATTATCCGAGATTTCTATCAGCCTCCCCCATAAATTTAACAGAACAGAATTAACAACACAAAAACATCTTTTTTTTGTGGAGCTTCCTTCCTGAGTTCTCCAGACTCTGCTTTCATCACTAGTCCCCCTCAGTGCACCCGTGGAGAGATTCCAATGCTTCTCTGTAGCTCAGAGAGGTCAGTAAGTTTGCCTGTGGTCACACAGCAATGGCATGGCAGAGCTGGATTTACTCTGGCTATCGGCCCCACTGCTTCCTCCCAAAATAGGTCCCCACGTTGGTGAGATTCTCCTATTGGGCATTGCCCCATGTCATAAATCTGTACCCTCCTAAACTTGGTGACACTGAATTTCCTAAGTGCAAGAGTGACCTCTGTCACCACCTGTGAGCAATAGGTGGGCAGGTGGCCATGCCCACTTAGCCAGGACACTGCTCCTAGGATGGTGGACTCTGGGAAGGGAGGGGAGCAGGCAAAGGGCTCGTGGATGAGCACAGTGGCAGGGCCTCATTCTGTGGCCTCCGGTGGCTCTAAGTTGGTGATAAGGCGGCTGCACATGCTCCTGCTGTTTGCTTCTGGGGAAAGCTGACTCTTGATTCTTCACCACTGGCCCCTGTCCCACCMCAGAGGAAGTGTCCCTAATGGGACACACCCCAGACAAACCATTTCTAAATTGGCCCTTTGTGACTATTGCAAAAGATGCGCCCTTACTCTGAAGCCTGGCCAATCCAAAGTGACCCCGGGGACTTGAGCCGAGTGCAGATCCCCAGGCCCCCCTTACCCTGCCTGGGCTCCTCTGCAGAGAGGGCTCCACCTTACTGCTGTTGGGCCAACCTACTTCTTCAACTTAAATGGAAAAGCTACAGCTTTCCCATCAAAATTATTTTCCTGGTGTCATTTAAATAATTAATTTAAATAATTAATGGTGCTCATTTAAATAATTAAAAGAAAAAACATTCACCCAGATACCACCTGAAAAGACCTTGTTTATCAACAATGATGCAAGCACAGATCCCATGACAAGGCCCATGACAAGGAAAGCACTGGCCCTCGGGCTCCGGTGTGTGTCCTGGACAGGCCATTTCCACTTTGGAAGGGTGGGTGGGAGAAGCTCCAGGAGAGGGGTCAGCCAAGTAGAGGGTGGACACCTGGTGCAGACGGCATCACATGGGGCACCTCTGGGATGGCTGCGTGCTCCTGGATTCTTTCATTAGCCTGCTCGTGAATATTTTTGTTCCTGCTTTTACGTCCAACTCAATTTTATAAGTAAAGCCAGCAACGGAAAAGCAAACTGGTGTTTTCAAGGTCACAGACTAAGTTAGGGTCCCAACTTGGAATGATGGGGGCAATGACTGAAGGCCACCTCACCCAGCACTGGGCTGTGACCTCAGAGACCGGGCCTCTCAACTGACCCACCAGCCCCTTTGTCCTGGGACCTGTATGGAAGCCTCAAACCTACTGCAGGTCTGCCTGCCTGGCCACTTGTGGTCACTATGGACTGTGCAGAAGAACACAGAAGGCCAGGAAAGGGCAAGTTCTACAAGTCCAGGTTCAAGATTCAGGTGTGTTAAAGCCTCAGTTCTTAGGCATGGTCATCTTGGCTAATCATTAATAAGGTCTCAAAGCTTGTGATTCACACACACACACACACAAAAATTAGGGCAGATCCAAGGTTACCACTCTCAGACTCCCAACTTGCAAGACGGAGATGGGAGCTACAGTAACCACGACAGAAGCCAGGTGCTAATGATCAGGCCTAATAGAATCATAGCAGCCAGTGGTCTTTGAGCTTGGCTATATATGCCAGTGGCATCCAAAGTCCCATGCATGAGACAAATCATTTAACACTCTCAATGACCTCACACTGTAAATCCTATTTCCCATTTTCTAGATGAATATAAAGAGGCACAGAGAAGTTAAGTAATTTGCACAAGGTCAACAGTGGCAGAACTAGGGACACATTTAAGAGTGGAGCCTAAATTCCTGCCAAATTTCTCTTGCTTCGTGCCAAAATTCTTGAGGCTAGCCATGAAAGTCTACACAAGTGTCAGAGGCCCAAGAATGGCCTGTCGGTTCCCACAGTCCTGCTGCATGGAATTGCTGACCACTCCTCTTGCTATCTAAGCTGGGAGGTGCCCCGCTTGCTCTTTCAACATGCAGGTCTGCATGTCTGGCCGTTCCAGCTCTGGACCGGCTGTGCAAGAGAATCCAGAAGGCCAGATAGGGCAGGTGTCACCTTTTACAAGCACCTGCGGAAAATTCTCACCATCTGCAAACATGCGTATGGGTGTGTGTTCCCTGCATCCCGGCCACACAGGGGAGAAGGGGCCTGGAGTCCCTGGGCCCTGCCCTGATGGTCTGTCTATTCCCTTCCACAGCCATCTCCCCGTGCAAGATCCTCAAGTGCAACTCTGAGTTCTGGAGCGCCACGTCCGGCAGCCACAGCCCGGCCTCTGACGACGCCCCTGAGTTCTGCGCTGCCCTGCGCACCTACGCCCTGTGCACGCGGCGGACGGCCCGCACCTGCCGGGGTGACCTGGCCTACCACTCCGCAGTCCATGGCATAGAGGACCTCATGAGCCAGCACAACTGCTCCAAGGATGGCCCCACCTCGCAGCCTCGCCTGCGCACACTTCCACCAGCGGGGGACAGCCAGGAGCGCTCGGACAGCCCCGAGATCTGCCACTACGAGAAGAGCTTCCACAAGCACTCAGCCGCMCCCAACTACACGCACTGTGGTCTGTTCGGGGACCCGCACCTCAGGACTTTCACAGACCGCTTCCAGACCTGCAAGGTGCAGGGCGCCTGGCCACTCATCGACAATAATTACCTGAATGTGCAGGTCACCAACACACCTGTGCTGCCTGGCTCCCCCGCCACTGCCACCAGCAAGGTAAGGAATGGGGAGGTAGCCGCACTGGTACCAGGATCCAGACACTTGGCCCTCAGACCCTCCAGCACCACTGTGCTCTTATGGTCGGTGCATGGGAAGTGATTCAGAACTGTTCTAGAGATTCTTTGTCATAAGGTAAATCAACCTAGAACCATATCTGCATTTTGCCCAGAGTGTGGTATTTCTTAAACTTCTGGTCACTAGAGATTTGAGAAATGTGTATTTTGGGGTCATAAACCTGCATTCATATGTATATAGAGTTTTGGGGTTGGTGGGGGCTTGTTTGGTTTTTTGTTGTTTTTTGGTTTGTTTTTCCAGCACTGGAGATAGAACCCCGCGACACTCTACCACTGAGCTACATCTCCATTCCCTCATTTTATTTTTATTTTGAGACAGGGTCTAAGTTGCCCAGGCTGACCTGGAATTTGTGCACTCTCRGCTGAGAGCTAAAGGTGGGCCCAGGTTTTCTGAGTCCCACAGTCTCTTTCCTCCTCCTGGGGCTCGAGCCACCTGGCTGGTAGAGCTCCATTTTACAGATCAGTAGCCTGAGGCTCTGGGAGACAGTGACCTCCGTACCTAAAACGCAGTTGGCAGGAACCACTGAGCTAGTCTTAGATGCAGGCAGCCCTGGACATGGCCCATGGCCCAGGCAAGGGGACAGACACCCGGTCTACCCCAGATTCCTTCTCTAACCACGTTTGTAGGGCCTCCAGTAACATCATATTCATACTTGTCAGGACGTGAGGTCTCAAGAGTGAGCCTGCAGAGTCCAGGTGGTGAGGACACTGCTGCCCTCCTCAGTGCCCAGCCTCTGTGCACTCCTGGCCTGGTCCGCCAGGGCCCCCGGGGCTTCCGGGTTGGCCACATGGCAGTGGGTCTGTTTTCCCAGGAAGAATTTGTTGGAAGACAGCGTGTCAGGCAGCGCCAGCCTGGCCCACAAGGGCATTTCTGTTTCTTCCCACCCCGCCACACCCAGAAAAGGACAGTGAGGTGACCTGGCAGCCAGGGAAATGCTCCATCCCTGCCACTTCCCTCTGCGCCGGTGGCCCTGGCCTGCCTAGGGGAGGTCTCTCTCTGAGCCCTCCCACTGGGTAGGAAACAAGCARTAGATGCCCAGAAAGGCCCTGGGCACCAGGTTGTAGGTGCCAGGCCAGCACACTCTCTCCTCGGCACGCTCAGGRGTGCCCATGTCAAGGACCCATCCACCTTCCCAGTCGCCCCTTCACCTACCCACCACCCTCCCTCTCTAGAGCCAACATAAATGAAGACTGGGAGCCTGAAGCAGCAGCTTCTAAATCTAGCAACAAACATACTGTGGGAGGCGAGTCGGCCTCCCTGCTCCAACCTGCGGGCTCCTGAGGTCTGGCGGGGGCATCTGAGGAGGTCTAGAGTATGGGAGGGATGTGGACCCCAAGCAGCTGTCCCTCCTGACCCAGGGTGGTGTGACCACCAAATGTGGCAGCAGAGCCAACCACAGAGCTGGGAGCGGCTGTRGTGTGCGATCGGGGAGGCTGGGGGTGACAAGGTGGAGCAGGAGACTTGGCTGAGTACTGCTGGGGCATGTGCCTTGGCTCAGAAAACCTGGGCCCACCTTTGGCGCTCAGCTGAGAGTGCAGCGGTGCTGTCCATGAACCAAAGGGATTGCTTATTGCTTCCTTTGCTCATTCTTGTGTATCACTTATTCACTTAACCCACGTGTCTCAAACGCCTGTTCTAATCCAGGCTTCTGCCGGGCACCGTAGAACTACCCAAGCAGGGATGGGAGAATCTCCCTCCTGGTGCCAGCCCCGAGGTTTCCAGAAGGGCCTGGAGCTGTGTGGCAGAGCTGGACAACCCTGCCCTTCTGCTATGCCTGGGTCACCTTTGATCTCAGCAGGCTGAGCACTCTGAGGCCCCATCAGCCAGCCTCTGCTGGAGGCCACACAGTGACAGCGTCAGTGTCTGTGGCCAAGCCAGCCTCAGAACTCYGGCCAGACCGGGGGCCTGTGGTGCCCAGGCGAGAAACATCAGTGGCAGGCTTCCAGCGCGCTGGCCTGTCCCTGCCTGTTCTCCTAGGCCTCCCCCTCRCAGGTGTGTGTGCTTGCTCACTCATTGATTCAGGAAGCAGTCACCCTTCTCCTGGGCCAGCCCGCAAGCTCAGTGCTGTCCTCCCTCCCCACAGCCCCCAGGAGAGGTATGTGGGACAGCGGGAGGCTGAGGGCCTCGGAGCCCTAGGTAGAGCCCTGGAAAGACAGTCCACTGAACTGGCCCTGAAGGGCTAGCGAGCCTCCAGGCGAAGAGACTGAAGAGTCAGCGTTGAAGGCAGACAGGGTAATCTGGTACCTTGAAAAGAGGAATGGAGGCCAAGGTCTGTTGGTCATTTGTGACCCACGGCCACCCAGAGTCCTGATCCTCAAGCTCAGAGAAACCTACTTCCCCCTCTGTCCTCAGCCATTTGCCACCTGCCCACCCTGCATACCAGCGGCCCCTMCCCTGGCTTCCCAGAACCTGTTCAGCCTCTGCCTGGCCCTTACTCTGACCCCACAGCCTTGCAGTTGTGAACCCTTCCTTCTGTGCAAAAAGCCTGACCCCAAACACATCGTCCCTTGCCCAGGACCTTTGTGCTCCTTTCCCATGATAACTGCCATTATCCACCTGGCCCCTCCCTCTGTTCTCATGGACAATCGAAATCTTGTGTTCTCCATCCAGGGAAGACATGTCAGCAGCTTCCCACCCTTCTGTGCCCAGCCCCTGACTCTGTGTCTCTCTTCCCAGCTGGGCTAGTCATGCCCATTTTACAGGTGGAGAAACTGAGGCTCAGGGAGGAYCTCGGTTCCTCTGCCTCCCCCTTCTCCCCAGCACTTACCAATCTGTCACACGGCCTAATTCCTCTCTTTGGTCAGTGACTTGCCCCCGCCCCCGGGGGGGGGTGTAGGGGGGCGGTCTTGAATGTTTTTGCTCCCTGGCTTCATGCATGGTGTTGATGAAGCCCAGGTTTTGCCCTGTGCAGCTCTGAGCGGCTCAGCAGAGAGCCYGGGGCCCCTCTGGGAAGGGGGCAGCCAAGGCAGAGCAGCAGTCGCGCCCGTGGCTGTGTTGGCAGCATGCCGCCAGCTTTCGACAGGCCCCCTTCATGCTGTTACTTGTGGTTGAGTCCCTGGCACGGGTGCCAAGGAGAGTCAGGCAGCCTGTCAGCCTTCCAGCAGACTGTCTCCGCCAGAGATGGTGGGGAGAGAGAAACCAGCCTTTCCTGTTCCAGGGAGACTGATGGCACTTGGAAAGCAGGGTGCCCCCCCCCACCGGTGTCTGTGTGGCCCTGCACACCGGGCAGGGACACCAGAGCCCCTTTCCCCCCCTAGTAGCAAGACCACCCACTGCCAGACCACCGTGCCGGCCCACTCCGCCCCTGCAGGCGGCCTCTGCACCACAGTGGGCGAGCTGCTGAGCTGGCTGGAGAGAGGGAAGAAGCAGGAGGTTGAACCATATGAAGTTGCCATCTTCACAGATCGGAGAGGGGAGAGTAGCAGCAATTTCATGTAGTGCAAAGCTCAGGACTCCACACAGCATGCAGAGAGGCTGTGTCCACCTGTGGCCTCCCACCCAGAGTAGATCAGAAGTGCACCACCACCTCAGGATTAGGCCGAGACCTCCAGAAAGGGAGATGGGGCAATGAGTCCCGTAGGTAAGGAGCTAYGTAGTCAGGGTCTCTGGATGTAATGCTCTGGACTCCCTCAGGGACCCATGGAGAGCCTTTCAGTTCTTTTAAACTATGATCCAGCCCAAACTGATGAGTCTTTACATCATGCATTCAGAAAAATGCCATTTTTAATAGTTTTTTTACGGAGGAAGGGATCCAGGAAGGCCCAAGTTTCTGACATCCTAAAAGTCAACACTGTAGCCTGCAGCTTATACAGCACCTCCTGCCCTGTCTTTTTAAGTAATAGGGGAGAATATAAGGTGGTACTTCTGCAGACACCCTGGCCCAGGCTCTTCTCTGTCCTCCTCAAGACCCTGTGGCTGCCACCACTTCCTGCATCATCCTTAACTTTACACCAGTGTGGGGGCATGCAAAGCACAGATGGCACAGAGCCAGGAATACCTCCAGAGGCCCTCACCACCTTGTGGGCTTCCTCAGCTTAGAACATTCTGCAGCAATAGGCATTCTGCAGGCCTCAAACCTCTGCCCCAGGCTGAGACCACTGTCTGCTTTCCCTTGGCCTCCAGGACCTTGGACAACAGGGCTCTTCCTGTTCATGCCTCAGGCCATCTAAAGTTGCATCCAGAGGCTTCCTGGTCTGTGACTTTGCCCCAGGCCCTAGGAGGCCCCATCTGGCTTTGACTCTCCTGCCTGAGCTGAGGTCTTTCTGCTGGATGCCCCAACTTCTCTCCCTGATTAGGGTTACTTTTGGCTTGCTCTGGTTTCCAGGTCCTCTGGGGCCAGGTCCTCAGCATATACCTGCTATTAGGCCAGAATCTCCCTTAGCACTTTTGAGCATTGCCCTCCACCCCAAGAGCCATCCTAGGCTGTCATCATGCCCCTTCAATGACCACTCCCTGCCCCAGAGTGTCCAGGTAGAGGCCAGCCACAGCCAGACCATATTTGCCATCAGCAATCTCCTTCCATTTGCCTGGGTCCCTTGGCCCTGCAAACCCTTTCCCAGTAGGAGGGTGAGGAATTGGGGCTTGGCATTGAGAGTGAGAGGATAGGTCTTGGGAGCCTTGAAAGGCCAGGATGCCACCTTGCCCTCCACATCCCACTGGCTCCAAGCTGGAATTCCGAGTTCCCACTCTCTTGGTCYAGGAGAGCAGTGCCTTTAGGGGCAGCCAGAGCTCCCCATGGCACAACAGCTGATCCCTGACAGCAGCCATGGGGAGAAAGGAGTTATTTCTCTCAGTTTCACTCATGTCTCCAATCCATATAGTCTACCTGTTCCTGGAAAGAGCAACCAGACACCTTACCAGGGGTGACAGAAGGAAACTCCCACTCTCAGCACCCCCCTCCCCAGCTGCTTATCTTGGACCCTTCTCCCTGGCCTCATACTCTATGTGCACAAAAGAGCCCAGAAGCTGCAAATCCAGAAACTAATTCTAGCTCTGCCTCTTGCTGACGGTATGGCTTCCGGCAAGTCACTGTACCTCTTTGAGCCTGTTTCCTCATCTGTAATGGAGGGTAATGTCATTGCCCTTGCAGTGCCCCAGGAGACTCACACACCAGACCCAGTGAGTGCATCTGTACAGGTGGTTCTCAGGTTACTAACAGGGTCACTGGACCATCCACCTCTGCTCCAGCAGCTCACCCCAGCTGTAGGCTCCACTGGAAATGGGTCTCCTCGCTCTGGCTGGCTGTGCCTGAAGCCTTGGTCTCGTTTTGTTGATCAGTATCTTCCATCTTTGCCTCTTGTTTCTGCTCCCCTTCTCCAAGGCCTAGCTTGATGTGACCCCTTACAGCAGACTTGGGACAGTGGCCTTTGTCCTCCTCTACTTGCTTCTGTGGATTTTGCCTATTCATTCTTTCTCTGAGCATCAGTTTCCTCCATCCATCTGCTGTTCAGCTTAGCCACTCGCAGTCTTTCAGGAAGTGTGCTGCAAGTGCCACAGGTTCCATGCAAGATGATGTTTRTGAGCCATATCAGTTTCCTATTGCTAATATAACAAATTACCATACATTAAGTGACTTCAACCAACAGAAATTTATCCTTATAATGCTGGAGGGCAGAAGTCCAAAATGAGCCTTACAAGGCTAAATCAAGCTGTCAACAGGGCTGGTCCCTCTAGAGACTCCAAGGGGGAAATCCATTTTCTGCATCTTGGCATTGAGGGTGAGAGGTCAGGGCCTGGGAGCCCTGAAAGGCCTGAGTACCACCTGGCACTCAGCATGGCCCTGCCTCTCTGGCTCCAGCCTGGGATTCTAAGTTCCAGCTCCCTTGGTCCAGGAGGGCAGTGCATTTAGAGGCAGCCAGAGCTCCCTGTGGCACAACAGCTGAGCCCTGAGAGCAGCCGTGGGAGAAGGTGGTTCTTTCTCTTCCAGTTTCATTCATGTCAGCAATCCCTGTAGWCTACTTGGTGGCTTCTGGCATTGCTTGGCTTATCCCTACATCATTCCAGTCTCTTCTTCCAAGCTAACACATCCTTCCTGTCCTCCTTCCCCATCACTTCTGCTCACTTTTGTGTGAATGCTTGTGATTGCATTTAGGACTCACCCAGATCATCCAGAATGACACAGAGATCATTCTCCATCTCTGTGTCTTTAACTGAATCACACCTGCCAAGTAGCTCTTGCCGTAAAATCTAACACTGGCAGGTTACAGGGAATAGGGGCCTATAGCTTTGGGGGCCACTTGTCAGCTGCCATAGTGGACTCATGACTTCTTGTTTTGAGTTTTCTCTCAAATGAGCTTTTATGTTTATTCGTTCACATCTCTATATGGTCAATGAGCTGATTTTCTGTCTAAGGCAGTGACCTAGTGAGAAAAAAAAAWTTTTTTTTAAGTGAAAAAAGGTCCGTTGTTTTAAAGAAAAGTATCACAGTGCCGGTGGAGCTGAGCTGTGGCCATCCTGGGAAAGGGAGGGTCAGTGAAACCCTGGGGCACTCGGGACCCTCCTCTCAGGCCAGAGCACCTTAAGCCAAGCCTTCTCCGGCCTCGCCTGATCGCTCTCCTCTGCCTGCTTCCCCGCAGCTCACCATCATCTTCAAGAACTTCCAAGAATGTGTGGACCAGAAGGTGTACCAGGCCGAGATGGATGAGCTCCCGGCAGCCTTCGCCGACGGCTCCAAGAACGGCGGGGACAGGCACGGGGCCAACAGCTTGAAGATCACGGAGAAGGTGTCGGGCCAGCACGTGGAGATCCAGGCCAAGTACATCGGCACCACCATCGTGGTGCGCCAGGTGGGCCGCTACCTGACCTTCGCGGTCCGCATGCCCGAGGAGGTGGTCAACGCCGTGGAGGACCGGGACAGCCAGGGCCTCTACCTCTGCCTGCGGGGCTGCCCGCTCAACCAGCAGATCGACTTCCAGGCCTTCCGGGCCAGCGCCCAGGGCCCCGACGCCCGCAGGCCCGTGGCCGCCAGCCCCGCCCCCGCGGCCCCTGAAACGTTCCCCTACGAGACGGCCGTGGCCAAGTGCAAGGAGAAGCTGCCCGTGGAGGACCTGTACTACCAGGCCTGCGTCTTCGACCTCCTCACCACGGGCGACGTGAACTTCACGCTGGCCGCCTACTACGCCCTGGAGGACGTCAAGATGCTCCACTCCAACAAGGACAAACTGCACCTGTATGAAAGGACTCGGGAGCTGCCGGGCGGGGTGGCCGCTGCGGGGCAGCCCCTGGCCCCCCAGCCTCTCCTCAGCACCCTGGCGCTCCTCGCCCTGCTGCCTGTGTTGTGGTAGGTGGGCAGCTGTCCTGAGGATGCGGAGGGATGCACAGACTCCACCCCCAGCCTTGGGGCTCCTACTCCTCCGTTCGAGGGCTGGGGACAACAACAGGGTGCGGACTGGCAGGCACACTGTCTGTGGGCCAGTGGGCTGGCAACTCTCAGGAGTAGAGGCAGCCGCTGGCCGGGTGACCCATGGGACGGTTTCCTCAGAGCTGTCTCTGGCAAGGGCTGGGGGKTGTGGGGCCCCGGCCCCTCTCTCTAGTGCACGTGACAAGATTGTGGTGATAGGTGCTGTGATGTTTGTGACAGTAGAGCTGTGTGAGAGGGAGAGCAGCTCCCCTCCTCCCCACCCCTGCAGTGTGAATGTGCAAAACCCAGCCCCTTAGGCTGAAGCCCCACCCCACCCCTCCAGAGAGACACTGGGAACAGTCAGAGTCGGCTCCTTCTGCCCCTTGCAATGCACTGAAACGGCCCGGCTGACTGCTGCACGCTGATTCGTGGGGCCACCTGTGCCCACCGCACGCACACACACACTCTTATATGAGCACACTCGCACACACTAAGCCTGCGGGGACACCCCAGCCAAGCTGCACAAGGCTCCTTCCCCAGACCGGGCCTCCTTAAGGTCAGGATGCCCCCAGAGGGTGCTGTTCAACATCTCTAGCAAATTGACGTAACCTTGTGGCCAATAAGCTGTGCCCTCCTGGTGCCTTTCCATCTGTACCCTCCCTGGGAGCTGGAGGGAGACCACTGTGTGCATTGGGCTGCCATGGGCATGGGTTCAGGCTCAGGTTCCCAGGCGCCTGCCCAGACAGCCGTGCAATTGAACCATCAATGCATGTCAGCACGTGGTCTAAGCCACGCCACTCACAGGCTCCAGTGCCCTTCTCTGGCTCTGCCCTTGGCCCTTTCGCTACTGTGCTTAGGAAATTGAAGTGCTTGGTTCTAAACGTCTACACAGAGGAGAGATCTCTTGATTTGGGTTCCTTCCCCTGCAGCAGATGCAAGAGCTCCTCGGCAGGGGAGTTCCAGCCCAGGGCATGGGCAGGAGACGCAGTGGATCGGGCCAGCTGGCCTGCCCCGTCCTCTGCTTTCTCCTCACCAGCCTCCTGGCTGCTGGTCAGAAGCCCTACTTTCCACCCTGCCCACCCACGTCTGGATTCTGAGGGGAGTAACAGAATCTTAGAGGCCTCACAACCCTGAACTTTCCGGGCAGGGTCTCCTTCCCAAGCCCTGTGGCCACAGAAGAAACCTGCCACTGGGAACCCTGAGTCCCCCTTTGTTTCAACCCAGGGTACACATCCACAAAAACCCAGAACAATTCCCACCTCTGCTGCTATTCCAGAGGCTCCCAGGGACCAGCAAAGGGCTGGCCTTCACTCCCAAAGGTGCAGCCAGCCCCAGTGGGCAGTCCTGCCAGTGGCCCTGCAGCCCTACTCCCCTCCCATCAGCATCTGCAGTAGCCCCTCTGCTGCTCCCCAGGGACCTCTCATACACTGGCCAGGAGGCTGCGAAACCTGCGTCTCCCCCCTTCCTCCGAGAGGTCCTCCTCCCTCTGCCAAAACCACATGGGCTGGTAGGAGGGGCTCACCCAGCCCCTTCCTCTCCCTGCTGGGTTTATAGATGATCCCTATGTTGGAAGTAAAAAGATGAAGCACTTTATTTTGGTTGTGTTTGATCACATTCTGCTTGGAAGTGGGGACCCCTCACTGCGTCCATGTGTCTGCGACCTGTGTGGAGTGTCACCGCATGTACATACTGTAAATTATTTATTAATGGCTAAATGCAAGTAAAGTTTGAGGTTTTGTTTTGTTTTGTTTTGTTATTTTCTTTTAATTGGAGTTTGTTTCTGAACAGACTTTGGTTCCTTTGGGGAAGTGGAGGGTTGACTTGGTGGCAGATGTCCCCTTAACGGTTAATGTGTGGAATAGGAATGTGTATGTTCGAGTGTCATGACGACGTGTGGAAGATACAGAAACATAACAACCAGAGTCATCTGCCTCTCTTAAAATTACTTTTTTTCCTTATCACAAGTCATTTGGGGCACCTAGCAGGTCCAGATTCCCTTGTACAGTGGACGCTGGAACATAATCCTGCAGACAGACAGCCAAATGGTGGAGGGACATAAAGTGCCTCCTGGGATAARGTTGGGGGCTGGCCTCAGTTCCAGGATGACTCCTTCTCAGCCGGCAACATCATCTAGGAGACTGGAGACTATGGCTGCCACCCTCCCTCCAGTCCCCTGCTCACATAGCACAGGAGCAGAGTGGTAGCCCTGCAGAGGGGACCACCATGTACGTCTCTGGGGCCCRGTTTACTGCTTGCTGTGATCACATCTCATCCCTAAAATCTACCTGGTGACTCTGGAATGAATGTAGATCCACTTCATAGAAGAAACAGTTCCTGTGAGATGAATTGACTTGCCCAGGGTCCCTTGGCAAAGGTAGATGCAAGATGTTCAACTAGATTAGTTTTGCCCAAAGTTCCTGCTCTTAGCCCTAAATGCCATGAAGAAGAGCAACGTAATTAAGCCAAGCTCTATATCCTGCCGTCTCCACCTTTCCAGTTGTGTGACCTTGGGCAAATCATTTAATCTCTCTAAGCCCCAGTTCCCTCCTCTGTCAAATACAGGGTGCCTATCGTATAGGGTTGCTTGGAGATCACTGCAAAGTGCCTACCATGAGTGTTCACTGTGGGTAGTGGTGTTACTCCAAAGCAAGAGAGATCGGATGGAGTGGGGCAGAGTGGGAGCAGGAAGCCTGGGCTGGGGATTGAACTGAAGAGGAATACAAAGAATGATCATTTACACATATCCAGGCAGAAGARGAAGTCCAGAAGTAGGAGAGAGAAAATTCTAGAGCCCTGTTCTTCCTTAGGCTCCCAGAGAAAACATGGCAATTGGGTTTGTAAGGAAGAAACCAGACTGGAAGTCAAAGCGTACCTGCACATTTTAGCCAGCACCCACTCTGGCAGTAGGACGGGTCTCCCACACTCAATGGTAAGCAAGAGGTAACACCCGGAGCAGCATGGAGGTAGCAGAGCCATTGGCACTGATGGGCACAGATCACGGGGAAGCCAGGGCACACAGAAGGGGAAAAAAAAGATAAAAGTTTCTTGTTCAGCATCAGAAGAAAAGGCTGTATGGCACTTGCCAGAAAATATTCTTGGTTTGGAATGTTTTCAGGACCCTAAATTTAATGGGCAGAAATTCTTTCCCAAGTACTGTGCTACTACCAGTTGTCCTTATGAACATGAAAATTTTCATTTCATTGTGAATGTGGAACACAGTGTTTTGAGCTAAATGACTCCCGAGAAGGTCTTCCTCTTCCTCTGCAGGATGAGTTGAGGAGACTCCTCACCACCAGACAAATGGAGGCCAGTGCGCTTGGAGGTAAGAGCATTAGCACCACGAGGTGGGACACCTCTCCCACTCCATCCAGACTTACTGATGTGGCAAGAACTCCGGGATGGATGCTGGGGCTGCAGCTCAATGGTAGGGCATTTACCTAGCCTGGCCTTCAACCCCAGCGTGGCAAAACTAAATAAATAAATAAAAGAACTCTTGGAGTTCTTGTTTGGCAAACCAGAATTTGTAAGGATAAAAGACAGAAAGGGCCCTTAAAACAAGTGGATGACAGTCATTTATAATGAGGGAGCAAACTATGGGGTGAAATAATTCCCAGAACACTTGGGCAGAGGCCCATCAGAGCCGGGCACCAGTCATGCCTGAGACTGGCGCAGAGCAGGGGGGGTGGCCCTCGGCGCAGGCTGACTTGGCATCAGAACTGGCTCTGTCTGTCACTGGCTGTGTGGTCTCTCTTGGATCTTTTTGAGCCTTGCATTTCTTATTTGTAAAATGGAATTACGAGTACCTGCCTCCCAAGGTCCTTATGGAAACCCAGTGAACTAATGCTCGTAAATTCCCTTGCACGTGGGCCCTGGTACAGTGAAAATGGAGGACCCGTCTCTTGGCAATGGTATGTACTCATTTATCCATTTAACAGCTTCTTGTATGTGCCCAGCATTGTGCTGGGGGAACACAGTAGGGACCCAAAATAGGCCACCTTGCATTCTCACTGGGGAGAAAGTCAATAAACAATAGTTAACTAGATCTAACATCCCGGATGAAAAGCACCCAGAAGAAAGGGAAGCAAGTTGGTTCTGAGAGGGGATGAGAAGTTCCTCGTTGGTGGGGCCAAAGGTACCTCGGAGTCACTCACCTGTGAGAATTTCCAGGGCAAGCTATACAAACAGCTAGAGAGAATGTTCTACTCAGGGAGGAATGAGTACAGCAGACCTGGTGCACTCAGCTCAGAGGGAGAGTTTAAGGGGCAGCAGAAACGCATGTGACTTCTTGGCAATGAGTAGACAGAGGTCGGTCCCCAGTGAGGCCACAGAGTGACAGGAGCCAGGGGAGGACTTGATGTTTATCCCAGTTGCCAGAGGAAGCCACTGAGACCTCTGCACAGGGCAACGGTGTGTCTGCCCTGGGTCTCAAAGGAGTTCCAGATGCTACATAAAGGAGGCACTGTCAGGAGGGGCGCGAGTCACAGGCTATCGTAGAAGTCCCAGGCAGATGCAGTGTGGGAGAAGATGCAAAATGATGGGCTTTGGGGTTAATGTGAAGGTGGAGCTGACAGAGCCAGGGAGCTAGATGCTAGAGAATAGACCATCATACCATCCCCAAGTGTGGGCTCTGAGTACCAGGGTGAAGGTGGTGCCCCTTACTCCAGCTAGGAAGATCTCAGGAGGTACAGGTTTGGGGCAGGTTAGAAAGCATAGGTAGCTGGGCACAGTGGCACATGCCTGTAATCCTAAGGAGGCGGAGGCAGGAGGATCACAGATTTGAGGCTAGCCTCAACAATTTAGCAAAACCCTGTCTCAAAAAATAAGAAGTACTGGGGATGTAGCTCAGTAGTAGAGTGCTGGAGAGAGAGGGGGGAAAGGAGGGAAGGAAGGGAGGGAGGGAGGGAGGGAGGGAGGGAGGGAAAGAGAAAGGGAGAGAGAAAAAGCATGGGTGCTTCAATTTGAAGTTTTAAATTTAAATGATGTAAATTTCTTTCTAAGCAAGGCAGTGTTCACCAAATAAACTTTCCAGCTCTCACCTGTTCCCTGGCCCAGCTTATCCCCAGAATGACTGATGAGAATGGAGAGAGGGCATCTTGAGGGGGAGTCCCTCCTCGAGACTCACCTGCCTGTGTCTCCCACCAGACACTCAGGGTGGGTGCCATGCTTTATCCATCTTTTCCAGTGCTCATCCCTTAGGTTTGGTCCAGGAGCTACATCTCTTTGGTCTGACTAGTTGTTGAACTCTTAAAACAGTGGGAAGAAGCCCGTGAGAAGACGCCCCCCATAATATAATCAGAAGTTTAAGGACCTCTAGCTTCACAGAGGTTCCAGCAGTCTCCTGAATCTATGGAGTCAAGGCCTCTCCACCTGTTTCCTCAATATCTTGGCCATTTGATTGTTTCCTGCTTCAGACATGATGTTAGTTCCAGGACCCTTGAAGGCAGGGGAGCAGAGAGCAACACTCTTAAAAGTCCCGGCAGGATGGACTTACCAGATCTCTGCAGGCAGCTGTGTGCATGCCCTGGTCCTAGTGGTGGCAGAGTTGTTTCTGAAATCAGAAACGAGATTGCAGGCAGCCCAAGCCCTCAGGCCAAGGTGGGCATATGGCCCAACATCATCCTGTCCTTGCCCAGGGTGACCCTGGGATGGCACATGGACTCTTCTACATTCAAACTCAAACCAGCTCCCTGCTCTCTCCCCTGCAAGGATTGGAGCCCTTGCCAGGCCCTTGCCATAGCAAAATGTACCAAATCAAACAGATCTGCCAGCAGAAGAACAAAGATGTGTTCAGAAACTGTCAGGAAATCAGTCTTGAGCTCACTCTATCTTTTCCTCCTCCTTAAGGACACAGTGCTAAAGCTTGCACCATTAAACCAACCCCCAGTCCCCTGCCTGAGGCCAAGCAGTGGCCTGGGGAAGTGACCTTGTGTTTGGTGGCCTAAATGCCCAGGGATGCGCAGTGGCAGAGAAACCCCTGGCAGAGGGAAAAGCCCAGTTTGACCCAGGGTCCCAGTGCTGTCCCCCACTGGCTGCATGTCAGAGGAGTTGTTGTCATTGTTCTCAGCCTCCTGTCTCAGCCATTAAGGCACAGTGACAGCACCTCCCTCACAAGTCACCTGCACACTGAATACCATGTGTGTGGCACACGTGCTCTCGGGAATTACAGCCACTGCTGTCCTTCAGCAGCCCCACGGACCTGGAGGTGCCTTCCTCTGGGATGGCCGTTCCCTGCCCATCGCTCACTGCCCAGGTCCACCTGGCCACGGGGCAAACTGTGGTCACACACATTTTATGAGCTGCCACCTTCGCTGTCCTCCTGCAGCCACACCTACCTCCTTGAGAAATAGAAATGAGGTCCTACATTTGAATCTTGCCCTTGAGTCCACAACAATCCTAGAAGGCAGAAGATCTTGCCCTAGTGAGCAGGTGAGCAGGCGAGGTTTAAAAGAAGCCAACTGGCCTGCTTAAGAGTTCAGTGACAGTCTGGGAGAAGAGTCAGCCCACCCACCTGTCACTCCACCTGCACCCACCCAACCACCTGCTCTTGGCTTGAGGGCAGAGAGGGAGCCTCAGGAACCCTCAAATAATGGTGGAGTCAGTCTAGATATGGTTCTGGGGAGAGCAGGGAGAGGAGGGAGACCCCCAGCTAGAGGCTCAGTGGACCCCAAACCTGGAGAAGAGAGAAAGTTGACAAAGAAGATCATGGCCAGGAAAATGTCCCCAAGATCTGAAGCCTAAGAGGCTC